CTTGCCCTTCTCTAAGAATTGCTTGTAAGAATGATCATGGGTAGTTGGCTTAAGTAAAAAACATAATTCTGGCATTAATTGGGCACTATCCTAAGTGATTTACCTTCATTATCACATCTAATTTTCATTACAATCCTATGAGGGATGAACTTTTATTAACCCGATTTCTTAGATTAGAAATCGAGGCTCAAAATGGGTTAAGTAACTTCATCAAGGTGACATGGGTAATCAGAACTCTTAAATCAGGCACATCTGATTCCCACAGGCTGTATTTCTTAGTCCCGCCCCTCCAAATGAGACAGTTAGATCTGCTGAGAGCCAAACAGGCACACACATAAAAAACATTCAAAATGCTTTGGAGAATCTGTCAGTCCAAGGCGAGCATGATTATTTATGGCCAGGCTATTGCTTTGATGTGAAAACTCCATGCCGCCCAACTATTATACTCTAACAAGGTCTAGCTCCATGTGAATTTCTCTGCCTGGCAAATTCCTCCTGCCTAATAAAAGCGCTTGCCGAGAAAGCTCAAAACCCAGTAGCAATTAATTATTGACAGAGCATGTGAATTAGAGATAAAAGAAAAGTCATTCTTTCTCCACACACACGATAGTAAATAAATTTAATTATGGTAGGAGAAGCTGAGGGATCTTCATCTGGATTAAGTTTTATTAACTGAGACATTTAAAAGCATGTCATCATAACAAAGAGGTCTTGTGTAATCCTAAATGTGCCACTTTGGTGCAAGGCTTGGAAGTGAACAGACTTAATGGAGTACATGGTGGCAGATGGCCCGCTGTACCTACAGGTATTGAACAGGCTCATCGTCAATTAACTTTGGTCTACATATGTCTATAGCAAATTGACTGTATAATAGGATCCTGAGTCTCATTTGATCACTGATAGTCTAGTCACATTGGGATTAGGGGGAAAATGGTATTAAACTCATTTAATATCATGTAGCTCCCAAATAAGATAAGGCCATGCTAAAGGCAGGTGCAGAAGAAGGGGTGAGTGTGGAGAAGGAGCCTTGGCAAGGGAACTGAGAGACATGGGTCCTGGTGTGGGAACTATCAGTGACTCACTGGGCAACCAGTGAGTGAAAGAAGAAAGCCCCCTATATTGTGCCAGACCTATGCTAGATGCTTTCACTCTATATGTCATTTCATTCTCAACCAAACTTGAGGTCAGTTTTAGGATTTTACAAATAAGGACAATAAGGCTCAGAGATGTGATTCAATTTGCTGAGGTCATAAAGCCTGTCTGCTTCCAGTGTCCATTCCCTGTCCCTGGCCTTCAGCTTCCTTATTTGAATAATAATACCTTTGGACTAAGTCAGGGGTCAGCAAACTTTTTCTTAAAGGGCCAAATAGTCAATATTTAGGGTTTGTGGGCCATCTAGTCTCTGTTGCACCTACTCAACCCTGCTGTTGTAGTGCAAAAGCAGCCATAGACAATATATAAATGAATGAATGAATTTGGCAGTGTTCAGTGAAAGTTTATTTATGAACACTGAAATTTTTCCTAACTATTTAAAGATTACAAATCATTCCTGGCTGTGGATTATCCAAAAATAGGAGCCAGTCAGTAATTTGCCAGCCCTGGACTAGATAATCTTTGAGGTCTTGTTGAGCTCAAACATTTTCCAAAAGCCAATACAACAATAATAATATCCTTAATTTATTAGGCTCTTACAAATGTCAGCTTCTGTGCTAAATGCTTTTCAAGCATTATCTCCCTTAATCCTTATTCTACAGTGTGAAGTCCGTGTTGTCATTATCTCCATTTCAGAGATTATAAAACTAATGCGTAGAGAAATTGAGAGTGTATCTAGGTTAAACATAAATAGTACACAGTAGTACAGCAATTTAAACCCAGGGGCACAAGGTTCCCAAGCAAGAATGCGTAAACCTGATGCTGTCTTCTCTGATAATACATGGTCAAAGCTAAAGTCAGGGCATACAGGTAAAAAGAAGGTCCAAGTGTTTATAAATTT